TGATGGGAAAGTTCAGGGTCGGGCCGAGCGCGGGGAGAGGCTCATAAAGGGCTCTTTGTGCCGCAGCTCTGCCCCGGCTCCGCGCACGGAGCCCGCGGCCCCACAGCAAAATGCAGCCCAGAAATATGACAAGACATCTTTTTCCCAGGGTGCTGTTAAAGTCTAATTAAACATTTCAGCACACTCGAGCAAGGGAATGTCTGCTTCTCAGGCCCGGACCATCCCAGCTGGAAATCATCCCCTCCGATGCGAGCGGGCCCGTGCAGGCTGACCCAGAAAGATGCTGCTCGGGTGTAGGGATGGTGTGAGCCCATACACCAGAGGGGACAACCTGCTCCTCCCCGACCCCTCCATGCCAGCACGGGACAACTGCTGTCTCCCGCTCTGGAGGAGGCACCCAGGCTGGAACAGCTGGAGAAGGGCACACACAGACAGGTCTGTCGTGGCACTGCCAGCCCTGGCACTCGTGCACTCCCCACCGTGGGAGCTGGGGTCCCTGTACCTGCTGGGGCAGCAGCCCAGGGTGCACAGCCTGCAGGGGCAGGATGCAGCAGCTCCTTCAAGAGATGGTGTGAGAAAATCTAGTGAGGCTAGAATTGTCATCCTGCTATTTTAAAGAATGAAAGAAAAAGAAAATAGCACAAAAGAGATGAGCAGTGAAGCCAGGTGATTCCAGGAATGAGGAGCCCTGTAAGGCAACAGTCTGGGGCACAGCAGCTTGGAGACCCCCCTAAAATCACCTGGATGTCCAGGACGGGTCTCATGACAGTGAGCTGGCACAGCTCTCCACATTACTGAACACTGACTTTGGCCATTAACTGCAGCAATTCCTCACCACCTTGTTTCTAGCAGGCACAGACCTAATGCAGAAATATCCCACCCCTGATGCTGTGGTGTCTGACCCAGCCTCATGGAGGGGACATGGTGGCACTGAACTACTGCCCTGCAGCATCCCTTGTCCCACCTGACACAGCCCAGTGGGAGCAGCACACCAAGGACAGGCAGTGTTGGGGGCCAGGGAGCTGCTGCTTTCCCATGGGCAACCTCAGCATCAGAACCGGGTCACCCAGGAAAGGATTACTCCAAAAATGTGCCATTTCTGAGATCAGTAAGTGCTGGGAAGGTGTCTGCCCTGAGCAGTGTGACAGACCATGCAATGACACTTGTAATTTGGCATCCCATGGGGTGGAATTTGGCAGAACTGGTCTCTCCTGCTCTAAGGACATTCCAGCTCCTGCATGGGCAGTCTGAACTGAACTCCCTCAATACATACAGCAACCATGGGTTTAATCCAGGTTTGCCCCCTCAGTTAGACAAGCAGCAGCATCTCCTAGGGGAGCTTCATCCTGGCCCACTGAGGCCCCAGGGCCAAGGTTTCTGTCACTGTGCTGGCCATCACCCCCGGGAACCTTCCCTGTGGTGTTGTGCCTCCCCTCACTGGATGCTCCCCCCTAGGAAAATGGCAACACCAGCATCTGGTATGTGACTGTGGACGGCTGGCAGCCCTGGAGGGGGGTCACAGCCACATGCAGGGCTGTCCCCAGGTGCCACACGCTCACAGGGTGTGTCCTTCTCCTTTCACTGCAGTGGGAGGGGGAGGGAGGCTGGATTTAGGAAGAAACCTTGACTTTTCTAGGAAAAGCAAGGCAGGCAGCAGGGTCTTTACATCGTCCCTGTGCAGCACCTGGGCTGTGCTGTGCTGTCCAAGCTTTGTGGGATGTATCTGTCCCTGAATCCTGATCCACTGCGGGTGCCCCAGGTGGCACCGTGAGCCCCAGTCCTAGCACAGACACAGGCAGCGAGGCCGGTGACAGCCGTGGGGACACCGGCTGAGGGCAGCCACCCCCCGTGCAGTGCACACACCGAGGGGGCTCATCCCTATGGACCCCCAGAGACCCCATCCCCACTGGGAACCACAATCCACACCCTGCCTGTGTGCCCACAGCTAGGGAGACTGTGACACCACGAGCCGGTGACAGGGAGCCAGATCCTGAACTGCTGTCCCACTGTTTCCCAGGCTGTTCTACCGCCTGTGAGGGTGCGAGCGCCGGTGGAGTGGCATCGGGGTGCGAGGGAAGCGGAGACAAAGGCATTGCACCGCCCTCCTCCTCCTCCTGCCCTCCTCCCTGCGGCTTGGCGAGGCGGGAGGACTCTGGGAAGGGAAAAGGTTCCCAAGGCGAAGGTGTTAAATGCCCTTCTCCCGTGCTGCTGTCACCTCGCGGCCCCGGGGCTGTGAGAATCAGGCTCTATTATCCCCTCCCTAGGAACTAGCATACTGTACTAACCTTTTCACATGAAAGCCACGCTCTGTTTGCCAACAAAAGCCGGCGCTCGGTTCCCAGGAGTGGGGAAAACCCAACCGTACGGCCCTGAGCGGGGCTGCGGGGCCGGCCCACCCCGCCGGCCCCAGAGCCGCCACCCCGCGGGTGCCAGGGCTGCCGGGGCTCTGCAGGTGGGGCTCAGCCCGGTGCAGCCGCTGGGCTGGAGCACGAGGACCCTCCCCAGGGTGAGGGATCCTTCTTCCCCATCCCGGGGTGCCTGGCTTGTCCCCCCCCATAGAGGGGTGGATGGGGCTGAAGGTGGGGGCAAGGGGGACTCCCTGTCCCGCGGTTTGCGCTGCAGGGAGCCCTTCCCTGGGCACGCTGCCCCAGCTGTCGCCTGTCCCCAGGCTGGCAGACCCTCATCAGCTCCCCCAGGCTCCCCCTGAGAAGTTTGCAGGGCTCAAGCTGGTTCTTCTCCGACCACTGAGCAAAGCAGGTCAGGCTCTGCAAGAACTGAAACTCCCACTCGCTTTCAGGCTAACCCTGAAAGGTGAGAAGCAAGACTGGGAAAGCATCACTGGGCCATGGAAAAACCCATCTGCACAACAGCTGAGCCCCAGGTCAGTGTTCAGAGTGGCCAGATGAGCACTGAGCACAGCAGCTCCGGCCTCCCTGGGAACATGGCAGCAGCAGGGATGGGACAGGCATCACCTGGAACTGGGAAGATGAACAATTGGGGTAGCAGCCTCCTCACTCAAGTTTCTAATTAAAAGAGAACTGTCTAGGGCATCGCAGCTGCTCGGGGCTGAGATAAAGATAGTGCCAGAGGAGAGGACTGGAAGTGAAAAGGGTTTGTCTGTTTTTTTTTTTTTCAAATTAACAAATTACCTGCTCTGCCTCATTTATGGCTGGATATGCTCGACAGCTTGGGACAGTGGGCTTGAGAGGTGCCCAAGGTCACAGCAGATGCTGAATTCCCGAGCAGCCCCACACCTGGGGACACATCCCTGCAAGACCCTACAAAATCCACATTCTCATGTTGCCTTGGAACCTCAACTAGGTCCATGCTTCTAGTGAGGGAAGCAGGAAGAAGGAGGGATGAGTCCTTTTCCTTCCTCTCTATTGTTTCCTTCCGTTCCTACCTCCACCTCCAGTCAACTCTGGAGGCAGCTTCCTCCCTGACCCCACAACCTTCCAGTCCCCAAGTGCTGCTGGCCCACTCCAGCATGGGGTGACCCTGTGCTACCTCAGCTCCATCGCTGCACAGGCAGGTGGGTTCTGCATGGCTCACATGTGTACTGGCCCCAGCCCATGGAGCTGTTTCACACAGGCTCTCAGTGACAGCTCCCAGAGCCTGCGGAGCCGTCCCGCTGCTGTGCATCCTGTCGGGGTGCCTTGGCCTCTGCTGCTTTGCAAAGTAATTGAATTACAACTGCTGAATCACTTTGGTGCTGCCTGGCTGCTCCTTTGTGCGTGGGTGCAGCGGCCCAGGGCGGCCTGGAGCACACGCGGGGGCTCTTTGGGCTGCTCTTTTTGGAGGGTCATTTCTCCTCTCAGTTGCTGCAGTCAGATTTGGGTCATCAGGTTTGATCTAAGTATGTCAGAGGACTGGAATTCACAGGGAAGCAAAGGCACAATAATGCAGGCTCTGTCCCAGTGTGATTCTGGGCTGGTTTCAAAAGTTCTTGGTTCACTCTTAGTGTTCTGGGAAACCTGGGGCAGGTTTAGTTCCTCACCTGACACAGGTGCCTTGGTGCTTGAGAGGTGAGGGCCAAGCCTGCCCTACCCTGACATGTGTCCCTGTGATGGAGACAAACCCTTCTGAGCTGTTGCTGCCTGTCCCCGGCTCAGAAGCACCTTTGAGCCAGGAGCTGAGCCAGGGCCAGGCTGTGAGGCTTAGGGCAAGATGAGATGAGATCCTTATCCAGTGTGCGGGGCGCATAAGGCAAGAGTAGGGAGAGTTGGTGCAGAGGCAAGGCACACAGCAGAGCTGTCCTTCAGGCTACTGTCCCCAGGCTTCCCAGTGCCAACTGAGCCCTGTGGG